AATTTTGACCCCCGATGTGGCCCTCGGGCCAAAAAATTTGCCCACCCCTGCATTAGGTGTTCTCATCTCTCCTGCCTATTTTAATCTCATTTCTAAATTGTGTGCAGTATAGACTAAGCTTATGTTGTCTCACTGGTTGTATTTCGGAAACATTGTAACTCTGCGTTGACATTTTCTAAACAATTTTAAAAAATTGTTTGCATTAATACAGTATTAAAATACCATTGACGTGATGGCAAGCAGTTCACAGCCATGGAAACGAAAGGCATGGACAGTCAAAGAAAAACTGGAAGCTTTGGACAGACTGAAATCAGGAATGAGTCAAGCGAAGGTCTCAAAAGAACTAGGAGTGGGGGAATCAACATTAAGAGGGTGGATCAAAGCTGTGGAAAAATTACGGTCAGTGGTAGTTGAACTGGATGAAAGTGAAGGCCTGGAAAGGAAGCGCCTAAGAATTGCCTTGGATAACCAACTAGATAGAGCAATATTTACGTGGTTTACCCAAGAACGCTCCGAAGGCACGCCAATTTCCGGTGACATTATAAGGAAACAAGCGGAGAAATTGAAGGATCTCAATTTTAGACGCTCGGGCAAGGACGCTTCTGCACATCAAGGTAACAAATTTAAAGCTAGCAGTGGATGGCTTAATCGTTTTAAAAAACGTCATGGCATTCGGCAAGTTGCAATTTCAGGAGAGACGCGCTCCGCAGATATAAAAGCTTGCGACGGATACCCGCTAAAGTTACAAGAGATCATCATTGAGGGTGGCTATGCTCCGGAGTAAATCTATAACGCTGATGAAACTGGCTTATGTTACTGTATGCTGCCGGATAGAACACTTGCTTCTAGGACCGAAGAACAAAAGGCCAAAGGTTTTAAGGTGATAAAAGAGAGAGTGACAATACTTTTCTGCGTGAATAAAACTGGTTCACATAAACTTAAACCTCTGTGCATAGGCAAATCCAGGTCTCCTAGGGCTTTCCACCATAAGAACATGGATTCGCTTTCATTCATTTATCGCCATTCAAAAAATGCCTGGATGACATCAGATATTTTCAAGGAATGGTTTAAGATATATTTTGTACCAGCTGTCTGGAGCCACCTATACAGACAAAATCTGGAGCCAAAGGCATTGCTCCTACTTGACAACTGTCCTGCCCACCCCCCAGTTGAGACCTTAACCAGCAAAGACGGGAAGATAAAGGTGAGCTACCTTCCTAAGAATATGACGTCCAAAATACAGCCCCTCGATCAAGGCATTATAGCCACATTTAAAATGAACTATCGTAAAGCCTTAGTAAAGAAAATTGTTGAGGACAATAGTAGCATAACTGATGTAATCAAGAAATTGAATTTGCTGGATGTATTTAACTTAGGAGAGACAGCCTGGCTAGGAATCACTCCGTCAACAATAGAGAAATGTTGGCATCGTGGTCTCAAAAGTGCTGTTGTCACTGAAAGCGACGACAACCAAGATGAGGAAGAAGACGAAGATGAGAACAACTTTGAAGGTTTTATGGAAGAAGAGGCCATGGAGGCAGAATGAGTCTACAGGGAACTTATGGCTCAAAGTGGGATAGCTGATGTTCAAGAGTGGATGGAGGTGGATGCTATGTGTCCAACCTATGAACGACTTACAGATGTAGATATAATTCATAATGTTGCCCCTCAACCACCTGGTGCCTCAGAAAATGTGTCTAACCCTGAGGATAGTGACGAAGAACCCTCGGATCCATCGCCCAAAGCTGCTGATGCGGTTGTAGGGTTAGAGATTGGTCTTAAGTGGCTAGAAAGCCAGGATGTGGATAGACTGCAAATACTGCAGTTAAAATCCATAATTGACCTGGCGAAGAAGAAAGCTCGCAGTAGCATGAAGTAACAAAGTATAGCAAGTTTTTTTAATTAAAAAGTTAAGGGGTGCATCTTAAATAAGAAAGCATCTTGTACCCCCAAACAAGTTTTCAGACTATAGTGTATTTAATAGTTAACAGTTCATATTGCGTAACAATCTACGTATAACATAGTTGGCTAAGTGACAAAGTGGCCCATGCTCCTATTTGCTAAAATACCAAAATCTTTTTTTACAACAATTTGTAAGGATGTTTAATTAGAAGAGTTTTCTGATATTTTATGTGAATTTTGCATTTTCCTAAGCATTACACACAGACCAAACAATTGATGTATGATGAAACCTAGCCCACATGGTTGCATTTAGCAGTGTTTAGTACCTGTGTTGTTAATACACTGTATCTTTTAAGTAAGCTTATAAAATAATTGTTGTAATTAAAGAAAGGAGATACAATTTAACCATTGTAGAACAGATTTATTTACTGCATACACTGTGTTAGTTCTAACAAAAATGATTTGCTGACTATTAATAACGGAAAAGCTCGAGGCCAAAGCAAGTTCGATATAACGCGGTTTCACCTATAACACGGTAAGATTTTTTTTTTGGCTCCCGAGGACAGCGTTCTTTCGAGGTAGTGGTGTAGTTTGCTGTGACAATTTTATACTTTTATTTCTGATTTTGTAAGCAAGAAGTTTTTAAGTGAGGTGGAAACTTGGGGTAGGCAAGACAAATCAGTCCAGAAAGAGGTTCAGTAGTCTGGAAAGGTTGACGGCCACTGCTCTACTCCATCCAGCAAATGAAAGCATCCAGACATCCAACAGAAGTTAGTTGTTGTTGTTTTCCAGTTGTGCATGCATGTTCAACGTCCAGTACCGAACTGTAGTTGGGACCCAGGTACAGGTTTGTTATAGACTAAGATTTGTAATTATGATATAGTGAGGTGTAACCTTCTACAATCCTCATAATTATAATGCATCTGAAAATATAGTTATGATTTTTATGGTCTCCCACCAGAGTCACCCTTGTTCCTTGCAGCTACAGAAAACAAATGGGCCAGCCTGAAGGGTGGTGAACTAGGACTAGGGTGAGTTCCCAAGCTATGGGGCTCTCATGAAACCATGCCTGCTCCCTCTAGTCTCTTCTGAGCAGGGCTCCAGCTCTTGCTGATTGCATTGTGGCAATGTGGCTAGGACATTTGAAGCTTTATAAATCTGACTGGCTCATTGGGTTAGACATGGATTTAAATGGCTGATAGTATTACCATACAGAAAGTACTTTTTCTAAGACAAGAATAGTATGTTGTGTATGCTTAAGGAAGAGAAAGAGACTAGGTGTATGGGCAATATATATATTTTTTTTAAATTGGACCAACTTCTGTAAATGAGAGAGACAAGCTTTCGAGCTTACACAGAGCTGCTCTTCAGGTTTAGGAAATCTACTCAGAGTGACACTGAGGAAGAGCTCTGTGTAAGCTCTACAGCTTCTTTCTCTCACCAACAGAAGTTGATCCAATAAAAAATATTACCTCACCCACCTTTTCTCTCATATCCTGGGATTGACATGACTACACTAACACTGTGTTAAGTTAGTTTAATGTCTGTGATTGGTACAATGCAGAAGGTCTCGGTTTGGTTCAAGAGTTTGATTTCTTGCCCTTTAGGCCTGTAGGGAGCAAAAGTATTGTAGTACTCCATGCTCGGCCTATTGCATTTTTTTAAAATTTGCTTTGCCGTTTTAAATCAGCTTTAGCTTTACATTCTGTGGTAGGGGATGTCAGTACATTGCATGCTGCAGTTTCTTGGGAAGCATGAGGTATTAATTTTGTGGCAAAACTGAACGTTGTAAATCTGGGGAAGAAGGGAGAGTAAAATAAAGGGAACCTCTTACATTCCAGTGTAGAGAAACAAAGGAAGCAAACCCAGTATTAAAAAAAAAAAAAAAAAAAAAAAGGCAGGCTGTTTTTAAGCATTTTGAATTATGAGCTGAAGTAAAAACTGCTTTTCACGTGCATTTGAGAATAGTATCAGTTTCTTGATTTGAATAGTGTTTTTCAGTGTGGAGGAAAAAATTCATTGTTCTTTTTATAAAGCTGCCTAGAGGCAAATATTTTCTCTAGCTAAAGAAACAAATAACAGAGTGGAGTGATGAAATAATGCTAATCTATCTTGTTGATGTTTTAGTGGGCATGATCTTTTAATGCTCCAAGCCTCCTTTGGAGATGGCAAGGAGACCATGTAAAACAAGTTAAGATTTTGTTTTCAACGTCTACACTACCACTTATGTCGGCATAACTTACGTCACTTAGGGCAGGTCTTCACTACGGGGGGGGGGGGGGTCGATTTAAGATACGCAAATTCGCGTAGCTGAATTCGACGTATCGCAGCCGACTTACCCCACTGTAAGGACGGTGGCAAAATCGACCTCCACGGCTTCCCGTCGACGGCGCTTACTTCCACCTCCGCTGGTGGAGTAAGAGCGTCGATTCGGGGATCGATTGTTGCGTCCCGACGAGATGCGATAATTCGATCCCCGAGAGGTCGATTTCTACCTGCCGATTCAGGCGGGTAGTGTAGACCTAGCCTTAGGTTGGGGTAACTTCTGTCGCTCAGGGGGCTGGCTTATTCATACCCCTAAGTGCCAGTGTGAACAGTGCTATGTCAGATGAAGAATTTCTCCCGCTGACATAGCTACTGCTGCTTGTTGGGGTTGGATTAATTAAGTCAATGGTAGAGCTCTATCCTGTTGTCTTAGAGCGGCTACACTAGAGAGCTTATAGTGGTGCAGCTATGCCACTATAAACTCTCTAGTGTAGTCATAGCCTCAGTGTTCGACTGAATGAGAGTTGCTTCTGTTCTTTATCAACAATAATTATTTTATGCAGCTTGGTATAAACCTTTCAAGTGGTGCATTTAGAGTAAAATAGCAAAGTTTAGATTTTTTTTTGCAATATACAAAGTAAAATGTACTGTGTGTGCTAAATGAACAATCATATACTCTACACATATTGGACTGTTAGATCTACTGAGAGCTATTAGTAGTTTTCTTTTTAAAAATCCGTTTCATGAACTCAGAATTGTTGTTTGATCCTATAATTATTTCTTCTGTTTAAGTACTTTAAATAATTTATTGGCCTAACCTTACTCTTTTTCAGTGTAGAGATTGGTGAAAGTGTGAGAGGGGAAGATGTGTATATCATCCAGAGTGGCTGTGGAGAAATCAATGATAACTTGATGGAACTTCTAATAATGATCAATGCTTGCAAGATTGCATCATCGTCCAGAGTGACTGCAGTAATTCCATGTTTTCCATATGCCAGGCAAGATAAGAAAGACAAGGTAGGTGAGGTGTGTTTGAATTACAAAGCCAGTATGAAACTACACTCTAATTTCTTTCCCATTTGTCCCGGATCAAAAATTTTTAAGATAATCAATACACTTTTGTAAATGCTTCTAGGAGACTGACCAGACTTGTTTACATTGCCAATATTTGCCTTTCTCAAAAATTATTATATAATCCTTAAAGGAGTGTTGGTAACCAAAATGAATAAGACAAGCCATTCAATTATTCTTATTTATATTTTGATAGACAATTTCAGCTAGCATTCTGTTCACAAGTGCAGGTTTTGTGTGTGTTTTCAGTCTTCTATTTTGAAAAACTCCTACAATAAGTTAACTTCAGTTTTGAGGGCTATATTGTTTTGGAGAGTGTCTGTCTGTAATTCAACACTTCTGTACATTAAAAGAGAAGGGTACACCCTTTCTAAACTAATTCAGTTGTTACATTAAATAAATAAATACTTAAAAAATGCTATATTTTATTAAACATGAAATAGAGGTCATAGAGATGTAGGAAAAGAGAAGAAGTTAATAGAAGTGAAGAACAACCACTAGAGTGGGAAAACTGAAGTTCTCGAACTATTCTTCAGGCAGCTGGTGGAGGTGGGAATGGGAGCCTTAGTTAGATAGCTACCCCTTTTTCTGTATAATCTAATAGTAAAACTTTCCATTAACATTTCCTTGAAGGGGAAGGAACAGTCATTGGTTATGCTAGGTTAATGAAACTGTCTGGAAAACTCTTCAGTCATGCTGCTATATATTTAGTTATTTATTTTGTGTAGGACATGGTATTAATCATGTAAGATAATTTGTTAATAGAAAACTGATATTTTCAAGTTGAACACGTACTTGGATGTTTTGGATCTGTGCTCCCTAATATCGAACGTAAATCTTCCTTGTTGCAAATTAAGCTCATTACTACTTGTCCTACCTTCACTGGGCATGGAGAACAATTGATCACCGACCTCTGTATAAAAGCCCTCAACTTGTTTGAAGACTGTGATCAGGTCCCCCCTCAGTCTTCTTTTCTCCAGACTAAAAATGCCCAGTTTTTAACCTTTCCTCATCGGTCAAGGTTTCTAAATCTGTTATCATTTTGCTCTCCTGTGGATTCTCTCCAGTTTGTCCACATCTTTACTAAAGTTAGCACCCAGAACCGTGCACAGTATTCCAGCTGAGACCTCACCAATGCCAAATAGAAAAGGACAGTTTTATCTCCTGAGTCATTGTAATGATGCTGGTTCTGGCAGGACCCAACTGAGAGTGTTGATTCAGGACCAGTTGCTTAAAACTGGGCAGTTACAGCCCAAGGCTGGGGTTTTTCCACCTCTAAGGCAAACCAAACCAGCCAGACAAAGAGGACTATGGTCTCACCCCACTGGCTAACCACAAGTCACACAAGCAATTCCCTTAGACACTCCAGTTTCCCAGTGCCACTCATTATGGGGACAAATGGTTATGAAAACCAATACCCCAGTAAAAGAAAAAAGGTTCTCTTGATCCCAAAGGATCAAGCCCCAGACCCAGGTCAATATACAAATCAGATCTTGCCCACAAATCACGCTGTTGCCAATCCTTTAGAATCTAAAATCTAAAGGTTTATTCATAAAAGGAAAAAGATATGGATGAGAGTTAGAATTGGTTAAATGGAATCAATTACATACAGTAATGGCAAAGTTCTTGGTTCAGGCTTGTAGCAGTGATAGAATAAACTGCAGGTTCAAATCAAGTCTCTGGAGTACATCCACAGCTGGGATGGGTCATTCAGTCTTTTGTGTAGAGCTTCCATTTGTAGCAAAGTCCCTCCAGAGGTAAGAAGCAGAACTGAAGACAAGGTGGAGATGAGGTATCAGCCTTTTATAGTCTTTTCCAGGTGTAAGAACACCTCTTTGTCCTTACTGTGGAAAATTACAGCAAAATGGAGTCTGGAGTCACATGGGCCAGTCCCTGCATACGTTGCTGAGTTACAAGGCGTATCTGCCTTCTCTCCATGGGTCAATTGTATAGCTGATGGTCCTTAATGGGCCATCAAGCAGGCTAGGCAGAGCTAACACCAACTTGTCTGGGATGTCACCCAGAAGCATAGCATAAGTTTGAAATACAGACAGTATAGAGCCAATATTCATAACTTCAACTACAAAATTGATACACACATATAGACAGCATAATCATAACCAGCAAACCATAACCTTGTCTTAGACACCTCATTTGACCACCTTTATACAAGATTTGGTGCCACTACAGGACTTTGGTTGCAACCATGTTCTATATGGTCCCAGATTGTCAATAACGTCACAGTCATACATACAGCACATCTTCCACCAGGAAGTAGGTTTGATACCAATGCTGAGAACCTGAAGAAACCTCTCTAGCATCCTGTCCCTTCCACTCCACCTCCCCTCTGGCAATTACCTCTTCTCCCCCCTTCCTCCCCCTGGATGCCTACACTCTTCTTACGTAGGAGAGAAGTTGTATACATAGTCTAAGAATCAAATCCCACAAGGTATTGGTGTTGCAGGTGTTTACCAGTCCTCAGAATTTAGTGCAATGTCACTAAAAAAACAAACCTGTATGACAGTGGTACTAGTATATAAAAGAGAAGATAATCAGAGCTGGGTTAAATTTTTGAAATTTTAATCAACTTTGTAATTAAAACAGTTGGGAATACTTGCCGTTTTGTCTCCTTTTCCTCTACTTGCTATCGAGGTAGACAAAGTTTTGAGGGTGGGAAGTTGTGGCTAAATTTTTTGGGGGGGGGGGTGAATTTTCCCTTTTTAATATCACCCCTAAGTAGGATATAATTCTTCTATATAGGCATGTAAATTAGTAAAATAAATAAATAAATGTTAAGTATTGTGATCATGTAACTAAAGAGTGTATTTAGGTTTGATTTAAGACTGTGTACCATCTTGAGTGCTTCCTAATGCCAGTGCAATGTTTCAGAAATTATTAAATGCCATGCTTAACATTTTAAAAAAAAAATAGTTTCTAAATAATTTTGCCAATAGTAATGCATGTAAAAACTTTTTAAATTTGAAATATTTTGATTATGTAAGGAAGAAATTGGGAAGTTAAGTAATGGCAAATGTATTAAATATTGCAACTGCTTAAAATAAAATTAGCATTGCTAGTGGTAATATTGGAAGAAAAGCCA